GCGGGCTGGCAGCTGGAGAGGTCCATGGCTAGGTGGAACATGGCTATTAAAATCCAAGCATGGCTTCCGAGCGGGCAACTTGACCTGCAGACAGAGAGCAACCAGGTTAGAAAGGCAGAGGGGTGACCCTGCAGCTCTTCAAACGCAGCCACCCCCCCGCTCCCAGGGAGCTGCTGGTCTCCTCACACCTGCCCCCCAGAAGCCACCTCATGGTAAGAAAACACCTGATACACAAACTCTTCCTTTTTTTTTTTTTTTCCTTTTCCCCCCAGAAAAAAATAATAAATAAAGTCATCAGGCCAAAGCCTCAAAATCTTTACTCCATTTTATTCAGCTTTTATACAAGAAAGACTTTTGTCGAACTCAGCAGGAGTTAATGAGGGCTTTGGATGCTACACAGACTAATCCTCCGCAGCGCTGCGCCCTGGCAAGTCCTCGGTAGCAACACAAAATGTGCATCTGGTTGACAGAAGCATTTGTACACTCTCTCCATGCGTGAGCAAATGAAGCTAAAGGAGCTGACCTGGATACTCTCAAGCAGAGTCTTTTTCTGCTCAGAGGATCTTTTTTTTTTTCCTAATTGAGTGTTTTCTCAAAGCATAACAACATTTATTTTGGGGAGGAACTTTGGGAAAGAGCACAGAAGGAGAAAGGGAAGAGACAGAAACAGACAACATGAACCAAAATAGTTCAGGCTGGGGGAGGAAGGATTTCAAGGCTTCAAAAAGAAAAAATCAAACACCCAAACCACATTGATGGTGGGTTGTTTTTGGAGGCCAGAAGAGCAGTGGCAGCATGAAGAGCATCCCCCACGTGCCATTCAGTGACAGTGCCACAGCCAACACGTTGTCACCACCAGAGAGGAGCCAGAGCTCTGGCTTCAACCCGGGTTCACCTTCACCATGCTCAGACCCCCTCCAGCAGTACTGACTGACTTCCAAACACCACCTGCAACATCTCCATGCAAGGTCAGAGAGGTGCTGGACACCTCCCCAGAGCAGTGCTCACCCCAGTTCCACCCCTCCAGCCCCTTCCCTGCCCTCCCTCCATCAGCAGCTGCCAAGGTGAGGGAAGACATGCCCAGCCTGGACCCAGGAATCCTGTTGCTGTGGGGAAGCTTCTCAAAGACCAACTGCCAGTGCTCTCTACTCAGGATTGACAGCTCACACGAAAAACAGATATTTCCCCCCCCCCCTTCCCATTTCCTCCTGCTTGCTCGTGACATTCTCAAGCTGCAGTGACGGCAGCCCCGAGCTCGCGGGGGTTTGCTCCTGCGTGGGACCTGCCTTGCTCCCCACGCAGGAACATGTCACGTGCAGCCCCCTGCAGCCCCCAGCTTCACACCAGCACCCTGAGAACGCTGTGCCCGAGCACGGCCAGGCAGCACCGGGAGGCACCCAGAGGCAGGGCTGTCCCTCACCCCAGGCCAGAGCCTCTGCTGATGGGGAGGGACACCATGGGGGACACCCATAGCTCACACGGGGCAGGCAGAGTCCCAGCAGCACCCTGTCCTGGCCCAAAGACAGCACAGCTCAACCCCCTGCATCCCTTAGAGTGAAGCCAGCCAAGGGACTGTCACCCATGGAGCGTCCTCCTGGCCACCCTGCTGGCTGACATGTCCCCAGGAGGTGGCTTTCGGGACGAGAGCAGCGAGCCTGGTTACCTCGGAGGAATTCTGCGTGGCATGCAATCTTTGGAGGGCTTTGCAACAACAGATAAGAGCAAGTGTCCTTCAGAATAAATAGCAGCGTGTAGGAGTTGCCGTTGTCAAGGCAACGCAGCGCGATGCTCGGCGCGGTGGGGATGCAGCAGCCAGGGACCCCGGGCTCCACCACAGGAGCCCCTTCCCTCCCCCTGCTCCCCCAGCCCCACAGAGCACCCTGCGAGGGCAGCCCAGGGAGCAGGGATGTGCCCTGCCCAGGGGTCCAGCCACACTGCTTGCCCCAGACAACCCCAGGTTGTCCCAGGAAATCCCACTGTCCCCAGAGTGCCCAGGCCTCCGTCCCCCCATGGCCAGCCCCGGCTGGATGGCACCCACTCGCCTTGTAGGAGGGGTGAGCAGAAAGTCAGGGTCGCTTGGAGGCTGGAAGGACACTGGAGCTTTGCTGAGACATCAAATGGCACAAACCTTCCTCCAACTGCACGAGCCGCATCCTGCTGGCCAGGGAGCAGAGGTGCCAGGAACCTTCCCATGCCCTCAGTGCTTGGAATAACTGACTGCACTTGAAGGGGAGTTCTGTCCTACAGAAGAGGATAAAGCTGGCACGTGGCATCCATCTGCCTCAGTCTGGGGGCACAGAGCCAGCCCTGGCTAGGGTTACGGGGTGGAATGGAGGGATGCACTGGGCAGGGCAGTGATTTCACTGCTCACTGCACCCTTTGGAAATAAAAATTTTGATTATTCAGGACTCCCCCACATGACTTTTTTTCCATTGCAAAGAGCGATGGGGCAAGTGTCAGCAATATTCACATTACTGCTTTTCCCATGTTTTGGGGGAAGGGAGCATTATTCCAAAATACTTCTCAAACACAAAACCCTGAAACTGAGTTAAAAAAATAAACAAGTAGCAGAGATATTTGAGAAGATTAAATCCCTTCTTTGCTTCCCTTATCCAAAGTCTTCACTCTTGTGAACCACAAATCCACTCCCATGGCTTAATGGCTGGAAAGGCAGGAAAGACAACTCCCAGAAACTCCCACAAACATTCACCTATGTTTCACCAGGAGTACAAGAGAAGATTCTGAGGAAACTGCTCAGATACGTGCAGTGATCACGTGCGTTAAGTTCTCCAGTGTTGCTTTGCTGAGCCCAACCAAGTTATGTCAATGGAATCACAGGTGCTGAAGGTGTTTCAGACAGAGCTGTCAGAGCCTTCCCACCATAGGGCTCCGAGTCCTCTCCAGTAGGAACACCCCCATTCAAGTCCTTTCATATGCAACAATTTGCCTTGAAGAGGAGGAAAGTTGGTACTTAAGAGAGAAATTAACTTCAAGGAGGCTGGAGGATGCAAGCTCACCACTCTTGGCTGGTTGGGAAGAGGCTGCTGGGCTGTGTCTGTGTTCAGGGCTGGCATCGTGATGCTGTCCAGCTCCTCCAGCCTCACTACCCCCACAGCAGCAACAACGTGGCTCTTCCCAACTGCCCAAGGCACCTTCAGTTCCTTCCCCACCTGGAGAGCCAGGCCAATTAAATCCCTCCTCCCTCAACCAAGTTTCACAGCCAGAAGTCCCTGAGCATTTTAAGAAGCATGCACATGCATGAGAAATGCTTTGGTAATTAGTGTCCTTGGCTTACAAGGGAGCTGAAAATGCAAGATTGTCTCTGTCCTGGGCATATCTGATAAACATGTGAAGCAGAGGGCTGGGAAAGGCAGCACTGGCCCTCCTTGACCCACATTCCAGCCAGGAAAAAGCACGGAATAGCAATGTACAGACAAAAGACTAGAGCAGTCAGGCCAAATGGAGTAAAAGCCCTCTTTTGGCACACATCATGCACCATTACTCTGCATTTCTATCCTCAGGGGCAGCCACCACAGGCACCCCAGGGCAGAGGGGGCCCTGGGAGCACAGGTTAATCCAGAGGCTGCTGATCCAGGCGACCGCTGTGTGCCCAGAAATCTCCGGGTTGGGTAATCTGTCCAAGCAATTAACTGGGATCATGGCCACCAAGCAGCTCTGACAAGCTGCAGAGCACAGCCCATCAGCAGCCTGCACATCACCCACTTCCCCAGAGCCTCAAAGGACTCACTGAGTGTGAATCCCCGGGCAGCGCGGGGAGAGGAGCCCGTTTGTGTCCTTTTCACAAGGGGCTCGCCTGCTCTCCAGCACCAGCCCCCTTCTCTTCTGACTGTGGAGACACTTCACAGGCAGCATTAAATGCAGAATAGACTGATTTTTAATGCAGAATTATACAAGTGGAGCCATTCTTCCATTTCATGCCTCCTGTTAGGTAATCTATTGGTATTGCATGAGGAACCAAGGTTATGTCCTTGTTGGGATGATTTACGAACTCTGAGCATTTCAGATCTCCAAACACCAAACAAGACAGAGATTAAAATATTCCTGTGAATGCCCAGAGCTGGAACCACGGCTGGAGGGACAGGGCAATGTCTGCTTGTCCCAGACCAGACAGGGCAGGGAAGCAGGCACCACACTCTAGGAAAAGCATCCTTGGCAGCACGGCTGCGTGTCCTACAGAGGCACTTGGAGCACAACACATCGTGAGAGCGTGTGCAGGAACCTGGAGGAGGAACCAGGCCGGGTGCCCTTCCCATGGGAACAAGAGGGGACAGTTTTGGTGGTGGTGGTGGCAGGAACTTGGCCCGTGCCCGCACGTCCTTGCCGCGGTGGGGACTGCAGACCCGGCGCCTGCCGCAGCCTCTCCAGCCCTGCAGTGTCCTTTGTTGTGACACCACCAGCCATCGCCATGGAAATGGAGCCGCACTGGCAGGACCCTCGCTGGGCTGGGAGGAAGGAAGAGGCACTGACAGGAGCCAAAAGGCATGTGGCAAGTTAAGCTGTGGGATCAGCAGGAGACCCTGCGGGACCCCCCACCACACCCCCCCGGCTCCGGGCTGCAGGCACCACCAGCACCTCTCTCCTAAGTGATGTTTTGCGCCCAAACAAGTCACTCCAAACCCAGACCCAATGGAACTGGGAACTTACTCTTCCCTGCCCTGTCTGTAGCTATGGCCTCTTCCAAGATCATGATAAATTTGAGAAAATATGGCTGACAGGCTTCTTAAAGCCAGGACTGGGAATTAAGCCACAAAAGCTGACACCCAGGAGCACCCACCAAGATAAATTAAACACACCACATCACTACTGATCTGTACTACAGAGCTGAGCTTCAGGATTACCTACCAATAAAAGTGATATTTAAAGCAAGTCCTGAGTTCCTCTGCTCTCCCCCTTCTTCCCACAAGTAATTAAACCGAAACCACTTCCGGCAGCAAAGGGGCTGAGAAATCAGCAGAGGGTGAATCCTCACCACTGCTGTTCCATGGCCAGTTTCCCTTGGAAAATGGGGTGGAAAGAGGTCGACTGAGGGCTGGGAACCAGTGGGTCCTCTCCAGGAAAGAAAAGCCAAAACAGAGAGGCAGCCAGGTCCATCCCTGCCTGCACCCAGGGAGCAGAGGGTGGCAGGAGGGCAGCACAGCAGAGCCTCTCGCTTTGCTGCCTCTGTCTTGAGCTCACCCAGCTGCAAACAAACAATTTTAACATTTGAATGGCCACGAGTTTGGAAGGTGTAATTAACACCCAGCGGGACCTGGCTGTGCTGCTGAGGTAGGCACAGCCTCTGCCAGGCAGCAGCTCTGGCATCTTGGTCCTGTCCTTCACTGAAAGCAGAGAAAGGGCAAAGCCCCAAGTGCAGAAGCCCAGGGCTTGTGCTGGGACACAAGACCCCCCCCGGTGCATCCCACGGACACAGCACAAGAAATGGCACGGGGGAGAAAGAGAAAAAAGGAGAAAACGGACAAAATTGGCACACACGACATCACTGCAAATGCAAAAGCAGGTTTGCTCCATGGCAGCCACATGCCTGGGCACTGCCAAACTTCAACCCTGCATTTTAAGTTCCTTTCCCATTTTTAAGATTGAAATGGATGCCAAGAGGACCGAGGGGTGCTCGGTGCCTGCAGGTGCCTGAGGATGAGTGTGAGAGCCCAGCTAATGCAGTTAAGTGGGAGAATAAAGAGTGCAGCCTAGCTGGTCTTGCTCTAGAACGGAGGCAGCACCTACTGCAGAGCATTCCCTTGGTCCCGCAGAATTATTTCAGATAGGATTTGAGAAGCACCAGAGCTGGGAAGCCCAGAAGCCAGCGGGTGCCTTCAGAGAGGTGTCTGCAGCAAATACATTTCTGTGCAAAACCAGAGCTGGGCCATGGCAGCCGGCACGCTGCAGGCAGGGGATGGTGGCCACACTGCCTCCCGCCCTGGCTGGGTGACAAGCCACCCTGGCACTTGCCGAGGGGACGGCTGAGCTGCCAGCTCAGTGCCCACAGCCCCAGCCCCAGCCCAGCATCCTCCCGGGTGGGCACGGCCGCTCTGCCCGCCCCGCCGGCAAACACTGTGCGCATTTAGGGCCCCACAGTGGGCACTTCATCCGAGCGCTGGGAACAACACTGCGCTTTTGTCCCGCTGGATAAAGGGGGTTTGTGAGCTCTGGCTTCCCAGCCCAGACCCACACCTGTCGCTGACTTCTTTCACTCTCCTCCCTCGAATTCTGCACCGGCACCGGGGATCAGGCAGCAGCAAGAGCTTCAGGTCAGACAAGACTTGCTGGGAAGTTGCTCTTAAGATTTCCAAATCCACTACAAAATCTTGTCAGAGATTCATAGCCTCAAGCTCCATTCTTGGCAATATTAAAAAAATCCCATACATGTAAGAAAACTGGGAGGTTCTCCCTTATTTTAGCCTCTATTTAAATCTCCTGGTGTGCTCCTGTGTATCAGCACCAGCCCGGGTGGGGACCCAACTGTGCTGTCACTGTAGCACGTCTCATGATAACTGGATTGAAGGCAGAGCTGGTACCAAGGGGCTGCACCTCTGCTCCATCAGAGTGACAGCAAGACACCAGCACAGCAAGATGGGGAGTACAAGGTACTTCTGGCCAGCACAGCACCAAAAATGAGCACAGGAGGGGCTGAGTAAGCAAGAGGACACTTTGAGAAGGGGACACGACCACCCTGTAATGCCACTGCCTCACTGGTAAATAATCCAAGGGCTTATTTTCTATTTAATGTGCTCAACCATGTCATTACAACGTATGTGGGAAACCCTTTGATCTAAAAAAATAAGTTAGCTCAGAACATCTGAAGTAGTAGCTTAATGAGCTTTAAAACAAAATAATTAACATAGGTTCATTGCACTGCTGTAATACCATACAGCTTGGCAGCATCAGCACATCAGAGTCCACAGTTCTACTCACAGGGATTCCTACATCAATGAGAAGTACTACCACCACGGAAAATACCCAAGGAGAAAATATATTCCATTGGGATTGTTAATGACCATCTCCCAGTGAGCTGCACTTTCCTGGGAGGGAACATAAGCACTGACCCTGCTGGAAATGCCTGGACAACAGGTGAGGGATGGATGTCCACATGGAGCCATGTGGTCCCCTGGGAAATCCAACCAACTCAAGCCTTGATCCTGGCACTGTGGGCTGCTCACACCAGAGTAATTGAGAAGCAAATCAAAACCCTGCCCTTCTCCTGGGGTGCACAGCTTACCCGGGAACCTCAGTGGCCATACACGGGAACGAACACAAGGAGAGCACAAAGGATTTCAAAAGATCCGGTAACTCTTACACAAATGCAGAAGATGAGAGAAATAAGGCTAAAAGCAGGCAGACAGATGGCTTTATGGAGCAAGAAATTGATAATAATAAAAAGACACAGCGAAGCACTCTTTGAAGGTGTGAAACATCCATAGGAAAGCACGGAGAAAGCAAAGGCACGAGCACAGGGCAGAGCATGGCCTGGCCAAAGCTCCTGAGTGGTGCTGGGGACCTCCCAGTCCCCCAGTCCTGCTCCTGAGCCAGCGCCAAGGCTGTGACCAGCCCTGCAGTGGGGACATCCCACTGATGGTTTGTCACATTTAATGGAAAAAAAAGAGAAAAGGGGCAAAAAAGATGGAGAAAAAGCAAATTAAAAAGACATGTAAGATCGTGAGACCTTCCTACTTTGGCCAGCCCTGCAGTGGGGACATCCCACTGATGGTTTGTCACATTTAATGGAAAAAAAAGAGAATGGGCCAAAAAGATGGAGAAAAAGCCAAATCAAAAGAGAAAGCAAAGGCAGTGAGACTGAAATCCAGGGCAAAGACTCTCGATCCATTTGTACAGAGGCCAAAATCCCCTTTTAACACCAAACAATTTCTTTTCCACAGAGACAAGCAATTTTCCCTGCCACAGCCACCTCAGCATCCAGGCAGATTGCAGGCTCTGGCAGCCACAGGAGTGAAATCCTGCAGGATCAAGGTGAACATGAGTCACCAGAGTCAGCTGGAGCGCCTGGAAAACCCTCCCGAGCCCAACTGCCAGCGAGTCCAAGAGTGCTGTGCTTTGCATCTCATTAAAAAAACAAAATCCCCTTTGCGGGAGCGATTAAACTTTTCAAAGTGTTCTCTGCAAAGGAGGGACTGTCTCTGCCAGGCAGATTGGTGGTGGCAGGAGACCTCCTGCATCCCTTGCTGCTGTTTCCAAACCTCTGTGATTTATTGCCTCTCCCGTGGTACCTCGGCTTCCTGCAAACACCCCTGTGCTGGGTCCTCCCACCGCGCAGCCCCAGACCTCCAGAAGGACAAAAGGGAAGAATATGGGATCTTACCCATTCCTGTTCAATGTCTGAGCAGAATATCCCCAAGGAACTGCCCGTAAGAAACGTTTCCATCCTCATCCATCAAATTAGCAACATGGATTTTGCCAGAGAATACATCACTGTGATGGGAACCCAGAATAAGTCCTGAGCATTTCACTTCGGAGGATGCTAAAGACACAGAGAGCTGCTCACAGAGCCAAGAACAAGAAGATGAATCACTCATCCTCCTCCTTCCCAGACAAAACTTAATAAGAAAACCCATGAAAGGCAACTACTTGTAAAAAATGAGTTTATTCTTCCTGGGAGCTCTTCTGACACACCTGGTGGCACCTGGAGCCCC